CCCAGCCGAAACCAGGACAGCAAAGTAAACCAGTGCTACTACAGCAGGGCTGAAGAAAATCCTGCTGCCAGGGAGGGCAGTGGTATCTGCTGAAGTTTAAAAGCAAAGCTGGAGGCAGTCCTAGCAGAAAGTGGTAAATCCCAGTTAATTCTTATTTACAGAGAAAATGCAGAAAGTCCCGTGTTATCTACATCAAATCAAAGTGCCAAGTCCCTCAAACAGAGACCTGCACACTCCAGTCTCCCAGGAGCCATGAACAAGACGCTCACTCGTCTTGGCAACCGGCGGTGCCGAAGCAAGTTCTCGTTGAGCCCAACCGCAGGCGGCATAGCCCCTCTCCTCCCCATCGCCTCCAGCCCCAGGGCAGAACAAGCTCCCCTCTCCTCCCCAAACTACACAACTGCAATGTTGAACCGCTACTGTAATTGGGAAAAGATGGGATCCCTGGGCTTGGTAAATCTGCTGTGCATCACACCAAGCATAAACACCGATCTGGAGGCACATGAGAAGCAAACCAGCCAGGTCCACTGACATCCAGCCTGGCCCTCTCCTGCTTCAAGGGGACTGTCCCTGTCAAACAGACCTTTAGGCTGGGATACACGGGAGAAGAAAAAAGAAAAGAAAAAAAAAAACCCAAGTAAATTGCAGCTGGGTGCTTTTTAGGCAACACAAGTAGAAGCCTAGCAGGAGTTGCTAGGCTCCTCATCTCTAGCACACAGCTTTCAGCCTCTCGACACTCCCAGCAGAAGCAATTAATTTCTAGGACAAACAGAGAGCTATCCCGCTCCGCAGATGTTTCCTCTTAGTTCTACTGGACTCGAGTCAATGAAAACGTGGCAATATCTGCACAGCAACACATGGAACTTTCCACCAGCCCAGATGGGAACAGGAGCAGGCTCAGTTGAAGCCTCTATTAAAGAAAAAAAATCTAAGTGCTATTTTTGTTTGGGATGGAAGGGAGGGGTTAAAGAGAGCTAGGAAAATAGAAATGGGCAGCATAGCCCTCAGCATGGCTGAGAACCACAGCCTCAAAGATTTCTTGGCAGATGTTGTATCAGCTGGGAGAGCTTTTACCCCTCTCAGAGCTTTGTTTATCCACTTGGGACATGAGCTGGTAGCAGCAAAGCCCCAGGGGCAGCTGAGACCAACTAGCAGCTGTGTAATGCTTTTGGCCAAGCTCATTATTTCTGTCTCAGGGGTAGGAGCAGCCCCAGTCTGAACTGGGGTCACACTCCACCCCACTGGTCTTCCACGCCAACAGATGGGAGGTAGCGAGTGTGGAAGGAGTAGGACCCCTTGAAGACCCCCAATTCATTGTGTGCCTGCTTACACAGCTACAGAAGACCTGCGAGGAGGACAGGCACAGTTAGAGGCACTGCAGATACTTGCACCGTGTTAACTTACAGTGACGCTCTCAGAAGTGCTTGGTACCAAATATTTTGTGACTGTGGTAGCCATTTTTGTATACACAGCGGCTCCACTGCTCCCTGTGCTGGCAGCAAACACAGATGCTCAGGTACCAAGAGTTTCCTCTTTAGATACCTTGAGTATATAGCCTAGATCTCAGATGGGCTAAATATCTGCCATCCTGCATATGAAGTAGAGAGAGAATGCACGTATATTCACCCCCACAATGGTGTCAGTTAACACGCCTGAAACACAGTGAGCTTTCTCCCCCCCTGCCCCCAGCTCTCATATCAATTTAAAATTAAAAGGCTCTGGAAGGCGACAAGAAGTGTCTTCAATGATGTAACGTGCAAAACGCTCGGAGATCCTTCAGCTGGAAGGCTATGAAGAAATACACTATTATTACCATGTTACAAAATTCACCCTGGATGTAACTCTGGGCAGCCTTTTGGTATCCAACCACAAATCTGTAATAAAACAGGCAACAGCTATTCAGGGAATGGCTGTGGTTCGAGACTTGCAATCCTTGTTTAGATTAACTATTTTCTGAAACATCAAACAAGACATGACCAAACAAAAACTGCCTGTGGTAAGTCTAAGGTACTGCAAATGTTTTTTCTCCCTTCAGTTTTCTTTCTTTCTACAGTCTTACAAGTAGCTTTGCATGACAAGGAACAGATAGCAGCTACTGGAAAGCTGATGTCAGGTTAGTCTTTGCCTCACAAACAATAACTCTACTGGAGTGATTAAAGATGATACGTATAATAATTGTCACTTCTTGGCTGTATTACTGCACAGCACTATCACAACCTACCTAAGGCATCACTTAAGGTACTGAAAAAACCCCACCTCTTCAAAATAGACAACTTGGGACAATTTTTTTTTTTTTTTCCACGTATCTGAAATACACAGTAGTACTGCAGTCACGCTGAATGATTATGTGAGGTCTAGGAAGAGGGCTGAAGGGATTTGGGGACCTTAAGTACGCCATGTATTTTAATGTGATCACGATTACTAGTTTGAAGTGTAATACATTTTGTCCTATATCTACAGCTCTCCCTCAGCAAAAGCCTTCCCCATCTCCCCACTAGATATATTCCAGTCAAAAGAATGTTCTTAAGCTGATACTATGAAATTAAAACAGGAAATTCAGAAAATGCTGCTGGAGTAAGAGCTAAATGATTCCTGGATTATTGTAGCAACTTTCACCATAATGTTTGTTCAAAACGTTCCTTCTAACACTTGCAGCTGAAGTACCAACTTCTTGAAAAATCAGTTTTTTCCTTTGACTTCTTCTATCTGTTGTCTCTTCCTATCCTGCCAAATAAACAGCTCTTACTCTTTGCTGGGCCAGCCAACTGATGCAGGGAGGGAATCCACTGCTTTGAAGACCTAGTGATACAACTTGATTGCGTACCTTATCTGCCATCTTCTGTCCTTCCCTGTAAAAAGGATCGTTACTGGCAGCCACTACGTTTTTCCAGCTGAATTATCGAACTCTTGAAAATTAACCTATTTTCCCTTCTACCTTAGCCATGCCCCTTCTCCTTAGCCTCCGTGAGAGGTTTTGACCAGGTTACTATCGCACCTGTCAGCAAAAGGGATAGGCAGAGCTCTAGTGAGCAAAGAAATCTTGGTTTTAAATATGAATTGGAAACTTGGGACCACGTTGTATTTACAGTAAAATCTAACCACATTTTATTCAAAGAAAAGTAAGATAATCTGAAGGAAGACTTCCACCAAGTGCTGTTCTCATCTGGCTGGTGAACAACAACAACAACAAATTTTCCAAGAGGCCCAAAACCTGGCTTGTGCTGTACCGAGGACAACCCCACAGACGCTCTAGGACACAGCAACTGGTCTGCAGAAGTGGAACACAGGCAAACAGAATTAAGCAGAACCTACACCAGTCCCGCATGAAAACAGACTCAAGCACTTCCCAGGCAATTGCATCAATCGCTGCTGGTGAGCTTCCTAGGTGCGGACAGTCACCCATATAGAAAGCATTTCAAATTCTCTTATTCGCATTTAACTGTAGCTTTCTTTATGCTTAGTAACATTTTAAAAGCCTCTTAGCCAGAAGGATAAAGGTACTGGAACAAAAAATATCCTTTTTCTACATCAAACCAAGATGATTGTACAATCAATTAAAACCAGTTTTGAACAATTAATAAAAACTCATCCTAGAAATCCAACTTTCTGCCGCGAGGTCCCCAAACTCTCTTCTTCATCCAAAGTCTTCTGAAGGGCTACGTGCAATGACTTGCCTACTCTTTTTCCCGTCTGCAATGCAAAGAAAACAAAACAACTCTGAGACATATGCTTATTAACAGGAAGACAACTCTCATGGAACACTTCCTTTTGACAAATATTTTCCCTTTAATGATTTATATACACCAGCTGGTATAAGAAAAATATGCTTTTAATTAAGAAAAATAACAGTGGGGGAAGTTTTATTTTAATTTGAGTAAGTTTTGGAAAAATCTACACATAAAGGCAGTGCTCACATTCAGAGAAGCATTCCATGATCATTAATATCAGATCCGTGCACTGCTGGATCACCCAGGAACAGAAATTAAATTCACATCAGGCGCAAGCACACGTTCAAATTAGCCAGCACACACAATATGAAGCAATATGCTAGCTGCCAGAGGACAAGAGATACTTGAGCAGCAAAGCAGCCTTCTAATACAAAGTTCAGTAAACTCTTGTGAACGTGCTCAGAATGAGCAGAGTGAATTTTGACCAGCTCAACACCCTGTCATGTGGCCAGAGAAGCCCAAAATGCACACTGGCTGCATCACCAAATCAGTCTGTGGGCAGATCCTTCATTACAATGTGCAATTCTGTACTGTTCAAGGACCTCAAAGGAGTTAACAGAAGGCTTTCTTTACAGAAATAAACTCCAGCAGTGGAAAACCACCAGGATTAGCTCCAACACCAGCCTCCACTCTTGCCACGTGCACAATTGTACTGTGGAAGCTACAGGACCTGGAAACATTGGACAATGCTGAAATAAAGATCTTAAGGCAGTGGTGCCTATCAGAGCTTTCCCAGGGTCCTTAAAGGGCAAGTTCCAGTTCATCCAATAACATCCAAGACAATACCTGCTCAAAACTCATTACCTCCATCATTTCAGAAATACTCTCGGGATCCAGGCTACCCTTCCCCACTTTCTTCATAGCAGTGATGGTGCCTTTACTGGTCACAGAAATAAGCAGGCTGGCCAAAGAACAGGCTTCTTCCTGAATGGTAGCGTCCACGACATGCCTATATCCAATCTGTAAGTTAGTGACAAAATGGCATATTAGTTTGCAGTTGTCTAAGCTCTTTATTAAGAAGATCAACTGTGAGTAGTAGCTCCGTTAGTTACCTACAGCCTCTCATCCTACTATCACGTGGGCTTTGGTAGTGGACAGAGACTGACTTGACAGAACAGCATTTAAACAGCCTCTGACCCCAAATTGAGTGTATACGCATAACAGAGGTGAGATAACGATGTCACTATTTCGTACCGTTTTCCTCTCTGACCATCCTTTCATCTATATAAGACTCCATATTCCCCTTTTCCACTCCAACTCCAAGCCTGGACCTTCCTCCCACCCGGTGAAAATTACACATTGTGAGACTCAGGCAAGCCCTCACTTCAGGGATGGCCTTTCTACCATTTATGCAACTTGCTTAAAAGAAATGCCAGACAAAATTTTAGGTAACTAAGCAAATCACTAACTCTTGCAATGGAAAACGCAGCATCCAGCAAATGAGCTGTGTTAGCTGTGTGCTATATACGGAAAAGGAAAATAAAAACCTGTTTGAAAGGAAAGAACAGTACAGCACCCATGAAAATGGAGTTCCGACCCCAGCAACAAATACTCGTTGTGTAACTCCAGGCAGCTCACACAACCTCTACGCCTCACAACAATGATCATTTGCTTTAATATACTGAAGTATCTGCTGCACTGGATGTTGAGCAAGGAGTAGATGAAAAATAATAAACAACTCTTCTGCATGAAAGAAGATGCATTTTAAGAATGCATCAAGTAGAAACCTGCCAAGTCAGAGGTGGAAAAAATCCCTTACTCAGCAAAAGTCCTTCTTGATTAGGAGGCCAAAGATGAACAAATATATACAAAGTGGACACTGACCATTTCTGTAACACAAGTTTTATCTCTTGAGGAAAAAAATAAATGGCAGGTGAAGTTAATAGAAACTGAAATCTCTAGGTAGAAGATCACCAATTTGTCAGGCTTACTTTGCTTAGTGTGACGATGCAGGGTACGTCATCCACGTTAAGTTGAATACAATCATAAGGGTCATCAGACAGCTCAATCTCTTTAGAGCCTTCTTCATCCTCCAAAACATGCACTTTGGGTACTCTGTGGAAATAAAATGTGCAAAATCATTGTCAGAACAGATAATGAATACAGTTGTCATACGGTCTCAGCTCCAAGAAGTGCCCTTTCCTCTAAATGAGGCTGAATGTTTAGAAAAAAATCCAGAACGTTATCAAAGTATTAACAACTTGCTCACTGAGAAATGGGAAGATATTTCGGATAATATCATCTTATTTACATCACTCAAACCATTAGAATGTGAACTGCTTTTTACACCAATACACAGGGAGAGATTCTTTTGGAATTTGCACAAATCAGTTCTGAACAATTCTTCGTACATCCACCTGGGTGTACAGGAGAGAGATTACCCAGACTGAATCCTTTCGTACTGTGTTTGCCAACCTTGCAGACAACAATAAAGTTGTCAGAATTACAGCAACTGCATTGCTTGGCAAAGCTGTGACATGAGTAGCAAATACAAGCAGCAAAGCTGTTCAGGAAAGAACACCACTAGCTAGGGAGACTTGGGGTAAAGGGAAAAGCTGACATTAGTAAAATCCTTTCTCTTTAGCAAGATGGGAAGATTGGCAAGATAGTCTCATTAAGAAGCCAGAAGACTCCACTGTTCTAAGGATAGATATACAAAAACAACGTCCAGAGATAAAAACCCAGGCAGAAATCCAAGAAATGCTTTCTTCTCAATTGTGAGTGATGAGGTCTCTCACAAATGAGCTAGACAGGCTCCTTATCAGTGGTACATACACTGTATTTCTGAGCGCCACTTAATGGGAGTTTTACAGGATGATTTAATGCAGTTTTCTTAGCATAATGAATAAAGTAATTTAAACCAATTTAGTAGAAGATGGTATCTCAAGCTGCCACGAATGTCAGCATCTTATATACCCTCACTTATCTGGGTGCCCACTAGGATGGAGTACTGACCGAGACACTGTGCTTTACTGGCCAGTAAAGCCCGCACAAGGCTCCACCATACTACTCTCACATTTACATATTTGCACTTGAAAACATAAAATATTTCAAGATGTCCCTAGAAAGCTAACTTCAGTAACCATGTGGAATGTAACCACCATCTGGTTTTATATTAATACTTTTACAGTAGCATTGTATTTTAAAGCTAGACTCTGGAGGTTACATTCTTCTATGCATTCTGTACCAAATCTCTTTTAAAGGAGAAGGAGATAGAGACTGATCTAGTGAACATTTCCCCCACCAACGCAAAGTGATTTTTGTTGTTTCCTGGAAGAGTATTTTAGTTGTTTGTAGCTAAGAGTCCTGGAGGCAAGTACTTCACCACAGCTAACCCTGCTCCAGTGAGAACAAATTCCCTACAAAAACATTGGCCTGGGCCAAGCTAAAACTATAACTTTCAGTAAGCATAACAACTGTGGTGTGTACTTTTTCCTGACATGAAACTCGAAATGCTTTGCAACTCACTGGAAATGGATCAAAGCCTATTTTCAAGTTAAAAATATTCCATTAAAAATTGATGGAATAAAGTCACAAGGTGACTAACCCTCAAGCTACACAGGACAATGGACAACATTGGAAAACAGCCTAGACAAGAAGTATATATGCCAGAGCAGTGTCTAAAAAAAGAAGGAAAATTTCAAGAAAATCTGTGAGATTAAGCAATTTCTAACTCCATCCTAAAATAGCTATGAAAGCAGAGCAATATTTGGTCTGCAAGAAAAAGCTGCCAGAATTAATACCTGAAAAATGCCTTCAAGGAGCTCTTTTGGTCAAGAACAGATGACAGAGGTACAAATTAGAACTACTGCAGAGGCAAAAAGACAGTTAATTGGACACAAGCATCACAGTTGCCTAAAAAGGGGGTATATACACACAAAAACTAGGCAAAGAGAGTGTAGCACAAAACATTTCCAGAAAACTGGAGACTTCCTCTCCCAGCTTGTGAAGATTTATCTTAAGAACTAGCTGTACATGTTTAGATTGCAATTTTTATTCTTCTATTTTGATTCCTGCAACTAATCAGGGCAAAAATCTGTACAGCAGGACTTAGTCACAAAATGAACAATGCTCTTTTCTGTGTGCTGCAGACCCAGACTTCACAACTGCAAAACCAGTTTTACCCTTGCAAGTAGGCATCAGTTCTGCCTCTACCATGCTGCCCAGCAAAACGCCACGACATCTGCGAGGCTATTGTGTTATGAACTCTGTAGCTTTTTTAAGTTGCCTAGTTTCTGTTGCCTTGGTTGCAAGTACGCACATTCCACAGGATCAAGTTTAATGCTAAGTCCTGACATAGTAGCTACTTGCACATTTTGCAAAACCTACTTCCATCATGGATAAATCCAGCCCTAGGCACCTTGGAGACACAGTCAGGAAGAAAGTTTAGTATCTGCTATCTTTTGCACATGATCTTGATATAGTTTTTAGAACACAATGAACAATACAAAACTCCGAGGAGTAAATGTTCCCCCTAAAACAGTCATATTGTCATTGTTCCATGCCTGAAGGGGATATGATGAGTCAGGTCAGACATACAAAGGATTTAAATCCCATAATTCTTGTGCAAAATTCCTTAAATTACAATTCTGGATTTATCTAGCCCTAAAGAAAAATGCATCCATAGCTATTATAAAAATAGTTAGAATAAGATTTTAAGGATGAAACCAGAGTTTTCAAATGCATATCTGAATACCTAAAAATTTGTAGCTTGAAAGAAAAAACAGCAGCTTGAGCTCCCTGCTCTTGGTTCCAAGGCTGCAGTCAAGGCTGACGAAGATCTGAAAACACTTATTACAAAAACCTGGTTGTAAACAGATTACGAAAGGCAAGTAAGACTCAAAGAGGGACACACATGTCAAGCGAAGTTCAGAACACTTAATCTGAAGTGATCTTCAAACTGACATCTTGTCTTCCTTGGACAATAATATTTCTATGGAGAGCAGGCAGCTACTCTAAACAACCTTGTGTCAATCCAAAGAAAACTTAGTAGGTACCAAGGGAAAGGGAGAAGAATAGTGAATGAGATCAACAGGTTTTCACTTTAATTTCTCCTCTTGACTTTCTGAGGTCATATGAGATTAGACATACTGGCATTCCCTGCTCAAATCAATAGACAGGGTTTTCACACGTAAAAAAATCAACCCGCTCTGCATTATGTCATACTGTACAACACTGTGATTTGATATCTGACTTCCAAAAGACTGTGGTCGCTTGCTCACAGATTAAAGATTACAGGAAGGATATGGTTGCCAGAAGAACAAAAATAAAGCAGAATCATTAAAACAATTACACGCTCCATGTTGCCCATGTACCCAAAGCAACAGATTTTCTTTCTTTATTTAAATTACTTCTTATATGATCTTCTCTCTTTATTCAGAACTAGGATTCTGGTTGAAATAAGAAAAAAGACCTCGTTATTTTGTAAATAAGTACGTGCCTTGGATAGGCAAAACAACTCACATGGGAGCAACTGTTTCAATTATATGACTTTTGCATCCTGAATTGAAGTAACACTAGTTCATGTTACCTGCATGTAGATGGACTGCCTTGTATCTGAATGCAGGTTGCCTTGGGTATTTCTTATTTAATTAAGCATTAGAAATGCTTAGCTCACAGAAAGTACTTCTCTTCCACTTCCCATGCCACTTCCACTCACATGAAATGAGATCTGTGCTTTACCTTGTATTAAAGAGAGCTGCCTTCACTGCGATGGAGATTGCATCAAAGAGGTTCCCACCACATTCCAATAACTGGTGAGGAAAAAAAGAATCTCTTTAAAAGAAAATCAGGCTAGTGCCTTTAAACCAAATCTTTATTTTACTTAAACCTACTTGGAAAGACACAAAATTAAGAAGAACAACAGGTTTTTAAAAACCAAAATTGTCTTTAAAGCCTATCTATGAACAGAAACAACAGATAGGAAATTAAGATTTAAGATTTCTGCTAACTGTACTATAAATGCAAAATAGAAGAGCTAACGCACTTCTTAATAAAATTAATGATAAAATTTAATAATAGAATGAAACCACCACTGTCCTTACTCTTCTTGTGCTAAGGCTCTGAACTAGACTATGACTGGCATACTTTTTATAAACTCACCACATTCATTCTTTAATGTTACATCAAGCCAATCCATTTTCTATACTTTATTTCAAAGAGGAGTCTTTTTTAAATATCAGCTGGACAAACCCAATTGGTAGAATTGTTTTCAAAGCAGCAACGCAAACTGTCACCCGGAACATGGTACAAAGAGCTAGTTATAGAAGGTACAGTTATGAAGGCACATCATGATTTATTCTCTATTCTTCACAGATGAGGAGTCATCAGAAGGTTTGTCTCGTAGCTGAAAAAGATCTAAGTAGATGCTGATCTCAAAGTCTACTTGTTGGTAACACTATGATTTGAATTAAAGTGTGTGGAGGGAGTCTAGCTTAGCTTCTTCCCATGAAGATCAGAACAGTCAAAGAGAACAGCAGCACCGCATACCAGATAAAAAGGCAGGGCTCCCATAACCACTAATACCTTCGATGGGCTGACAGACAGCTCAAAGATGTACTTGGCCATAGCCTAGCCTTAGTGCTCTGACAAGCTCCGCTCTCAGCTGCCAGTACTATTCTATGAACACACACACATCCCTAGCAAGCATTTGAAACTACTTCAGCAAGAACATAAGGATGCTTCCCCATTACATCAATCTATGCTGAATGATGAGAGCAAAACAAGTTTTGCAATACTGATTGCATTGATTGTTCTTCAAAATCTATTTAAGAATGAGATAAACTCCCGCACTGGGAGCAAATCATCAATCAGATATTTTGGAAAGACAGTTTTATTTTTATGAAGACAGACTGAATTGTGTAAAAAGAATGACAAAAAGTTGGGATAGAAAGCTAAATACAAAGGTGATCAGATTATTTCTTTGCAAACAGCTGCTGGATACAGAGAGGTTAACTTGCCACTTTCACTCATTATTGGATTTTACTGGATAACACAATAAGCCCCACAATATCTTTGTTATTAAAACACAATAATGGGATGTGCCGGTCCTGTTGCTAGGCTTACGTTCATGCTGCTGTTCTAAAGCCTTATTTGTATTACAGTGGCGCCTACAGGCTAGGAACACAGCCTGTATCAAGCGCGGTACAACAATTCTTCCAAAAAGAAATAAAAGAAATGAACACTCTCGTCAGTTGTGGGAAGCAAAGGAGTCTTTAGAAATGACTGCTTTTAATTTACTGATATGCAAATGAAAAAGTTGTGGGTGGGGAAAAAGAGAAAACATTGCAGACCTTGCCTTATTCAAATAAGTTTTTCCTCCAAAAGGACAGATTTCTAACTTTTTTTTTTTCCAAACTGCAGGGTGAATAGAAAAGATGAGGAAATCCTGTGAGCAATGCTGAGTAGTGAATTGCTAAAATTTCAACAGAACCTAATGCATCCTCCCAACACACAACGTACTGTAATTGGGTAGGGAACAAAAAGACTGCATGCTTTGATTCACCTTGCTCAGCACGGCAGCCTGCTGGGGTAAATTACACGGAGAAGGCTACAGATGTATCAAAAACACCCGTAAAAATGCCTAAAAGCTTATTTCTGACATCAGTGACTTTGAAGGGGAAAGGAATTGAGGGAAACAGAGAGGGTGAGATAGGCTTCTAGTTTTGCAGTACTGTGTACCTCCCCATTCATGAGCTGCTCTTTGGAAATGGAACGCCTTCTGTTGCTAAGAAAGAATGCATGTATTTTGAAAGGTCAAGGTATATATTCTTGACCTTTGACATATATCTATCTATATGTGTCCATATGTCTGCATCTTTGTGGTCTGCATAGTTGAAGTTATTTTCTTTCCAGTCTGATGGTACACCATTATAGCACCTCCCAAGTACACTGATCACTAGAAAATATTTTAGATGTTTTTAATGGATAAGCTGCAGGACTATGAAAAATACTCTATTTTCTCTTTTGAGGTTGCATATCTCAAATTTCGTTTACACCTAGGAGCTGAATATAGACGCTTTGATCAAAGTGCCCATGGCTAAATTACACAGCAATGGAGTCTCTCCAGGTTCGTAACATTCTTTCTGGGTTTTCATCTTTCGGAATGAGAGACTCAAAAACGAGCACCTGATCACAAGGTACCAGTATTTTCAGGTCTACGACAGATTTAAGGTCTACTTTCCCTCCAACTTAACTATGCAACACAAACACCAATGTGAACAATTTCCAGGAATTCTGAAGGAAAACATCATCCAAAGGACTCTTAATAAGCATTGTTACTATATTTAGAATCTGCCTCCCTCAAATGATGAATAATATGATTTGTACCTTATATTAACACAAGTGTCATACTTCCACAATGTACTTTTAAAACAGAATTTTACAGGAATGATTCGGCAAGAGCAGCTTCAGGAAAATCTGTAGGTATCAAGCACCTACATCAAGTATAAACTGTCACATGTGATACAACTCTTCTATTTAGAAAAGGAAATAGTACAAATATCTCAAAAATGTGAAAATTAGAAAAGGAAATAGTACAAATATCTCTAAAATGTGAAAATACAGAGGTCTAGCATGGGGGGAAAAAAAAAAAAAGAGGGTGAAGGACAGAGTAACAGACAAATGTTAATAGTATCCTGTTCTAACTGTACCAGCAGCTCTTCGACGGGTCACGCACAAAATCCCTGCAGAATATGACATTAAAAAGACTCATCAAGTTTAGAGTCCTAATTATGAACCTAAACCAGATTCTTTATTGGCACTGTAAACAAAGCTAAATGTAAAATTCATCACATAACATAGGTCTTGATGCTTACAATTCTGATACAACTAGTAGCACAAAAATACCAAGGCTGCTGTTCTCTGCAGCTGTGGACAAGTAACAAATTTGTCCAGGAACAATCAAATAATGACCAGCTATACCTCATACAAAAGCGATACAGAACTACTTCTGCAGCAGCCAACTTTAGGAAAGCTTTTGTTTATGCAGTGTTTATGCAATGTTAAGCAGTACATTGCTTAAATGAGAACAGTATTTAATATTCTGTACCTCTGCTTGTAATTACCTAGTGACTAAAGGCCCCAGTGAGATTTCTCAGAACTAACACTTCATTCTCTATTAAACTATGCCAAGCTCCAATAAGCTGGTGACTAGTGCTGTTAAAGCACTCAGCAGTGGTACCTATTTGATCATTCTGTGTGCAGACCAAGTCACGGTATGTACCATATCTACTATAATTAGGCTAATGCTACTGCTTTTTAAACACCTAATGGACTAATTTTCACATTTATTTAGGTCTTAGTCTAAATGTTCGTGTTTTGTTTAACAAAACCCTGTATTTAATTTTTTTGGCAATACAGCTTAACATTTTGCAAAGCACTTCATAGACGTTAATGGATTCCTGTAAGTAAGATCCCTCAACATATTTCCAGTTACAAATTTGACAAATAGAAACTCAACTTTGGACCAGCAAGAATTGGAAATAATGCTCGGAAGACCTGCAGACTTCTATTAAATTCCTATGACAGAGTGCTTTAAATACAGCATAGTTTGGAAATTGAGTGCCTGGATGCACAAGACTTACATGCATAAAATTAACTTTCCATTTTTTAAATGGAAACAAATATTCATTTTCTTTTCTACATTCAATGCATGTATACAACTTTAATCAAAAAGTGCCTAGGTCAAACATAACTTTTGCCAGAAAAGTTTCTATTTTACTTTACTGAATTAGTACTGATAATACTGCAAAGAGGTAGACAGGATGGACAGTTACGTTAGGGCTAACGTACACCCATGCTAACTTACGTTCATTAGAATGACATATTTCCTGTTATATCTAGCTTGGAAAAAAGTTCAGCCTTCTTTAGTGGCAATTTCCTTGTCAGTATAAGATCACTGATTTTTATCTGAGACAGATTTGGAGTATTCAGTGCTTTATTAGCTCTGCAGCAGAGCAGCAGCATCAAGAAGAGTAGAAAAAGAGCAAGCTGGAAGTAGTGATTAACTATTATAGGCAGATTCACAAGTAAATGGCCGTCCATGCTGTGAAGCATTATATCACATTATGAGAAGCTTTTTTAATATGAAAATACACATGGTTATGCTAAGTCAGTCAGCGCCTTGAAAAACCTTCTTGAATTTCAGTTTTCATTTCCTTACTTACCAATACATCAACATAGAGAACCCAGCAGTGGTCTCTGGGATTAATACAAAGTGATTTCAAGTCTACGCTGCTCTCGCCGCTAAATACACTGTAGAGTGTACTTGCTATCTCTGTGCCAAGTTCTTCGCCTCCCCGGCCTTCAAATTCAGGAGTAGCATTTGCAGAACTAGATAAAGAAAGAAAAAAATATTTTCACTTCTGAAGCAGCCAATACCCAAAGAACATTTCTTAAATATAATGCATTCGAAATACCTAAGGATTTATTTGTACAAGAATAAGCATCCTATCTGTAAAGAAATTACATCCATTTTGCATAAGAAAACGTCTTGATGAAGATAATATACCTACACTTTGCTACAAACTCTGATACTAATTAAATTTCACTTCAGTTCCCAACTTATAATATTGTAAGTTGGTGAATTCTCTCAGGTATTATTTCTTAAGCAATGTCATCTTCTATCCCCTCAATCCTTTCAAAGATAAAAAAGCAAAATCTGCATTAAGTTCAGAACAGCTAACAAGACAGCCTGTTAGAGTTGAATGTTAAATTAATAAGAGAGCGCCTAAGAAGAGAAAGATGTGACAATATGACAAGTAGAATAAGCATTTTTTTTTAAAAGTGACATGACTGCCTGACCTTAATTGGCGATTTCTTTACTGAGTGTACTCTCTGCTATCAAGCCACTTACAGACAGCAGCTCATTATTTTCAGCAACTGCAGCTTATGGAGAGCAGCAACTAAAGAACATTTTTTTCCAGAAGGGATCTCACAGAAGCGTGTGGTCTTCACTTCCCCGATTCCAACATAACGAACTTTGTTTATGAGCAGTCACGCAAGACATTCCTCAGGTGTTGGGGCCTTGTACACAACTAAGAACAAAATTCTAACAATAAAACAGGCCTACCCCCCAAAAAAACCCCCAAAACCCACAAAAAAAAAACAAACAAAAAACCCCCCAGCTCCAAGTCACAATGAAATAGAGCAGAAATGTCCAGAGATACATAAACAGCAAAATAACAAAAAATATTCTGAACGCAACCTCTGCTTTACAGAGAGGGCGAGCGCATTCTCAAGCAGTGGACTCATGGCACACGTTGCGGACCATGTTTTTAAACAAACTAGTCAGACCTCCCCCAAATTAATTTCTCATTACAGAACATGGGAAAGGAGGTAGTTCCACAGAAGTTGTTTCGGTATGTTCAAAATCTGTAATAGCAAAGCCTTGTATTCTCCTGGCTGGGCACCTCCCAGTGACAATTTCTCATCTATGTTTTGTGTTTATACGATGATACAAAAATCTTAGCTCTTCCAACAGGCACGCTGCAGGAATATAAACATACAGCAGAAAATCTGTGCCTTGGAATATAATCCCTTCACCTTTAAAAAAAAACAACTAAAGATCCACATTATCTAGGTACGACTTAAACCAAGCGAGCTCTATCAACAAGACTGCAGAGCGTATAAGCCTACATACAATTACCTATTATTATTCTTATAGGCAAGAATTACCTCACAGTAATTCTCCCAACTCGTTATTCTGCAGAACTGACGAAAACTCAGAATGCCAGGAAGAGATACTGGATTTTATAGAAGTTATTTGCTGCTACTAGGAACAGACAGCACTATACATTCTTTAAAAGAAAAAATAATTACTGCCAATCAAGGACTGACCTATGCTTCCAGACTACATTTGCCACACGTGTAAGCACTGCAAGTGTGATACACAGTATTTTTCACAGTTGCGTTAATATTAGACACCAATGTTATAAGACAGGACTGTATCTAAGTATAACTTAATTCTGGAAATATACCGAGTCAGGTCTTCAGGTTGTACTAAACATGCACTTATCCATGGAAGCAGCTTTTTTTCTGGTTAAACCATTCTGTTTAAAAGTGTAGTTACACAAGCATTATGATTCCTATGATAAGTTGAAAAGAATTATACAAACCTCAAGCTATACCTCATTATTATTTCTAAACACAAAGTGCTATCAAATGTTGTATTTTTTAATTACAAAAGGATACTTTCTTTGACAGTGAGTAGGAAGAACATAAGGCTCAATTGGAACATCATTGCAAGTTTCACTGCATCTGAATTCTGCTATTATTTTAACCCTTCGGTTCCTTGCAATCAAAGTGAAATAAGGAAGCAAAGTTAGCAGGGTACAATTACAGTAACGATACGGTAAATACTGCCACCTGATGCTGACGGACTATTGCAGTAATTTACACTGGGTAAAATTTGAAAAGGGGTTGTCTAGCACACCAGTAACAGAAAAATGCCAAAAAAAAACTTGTTTTACGGAACACAGAAAGAACTTAGTAGTGGCAGGTGGAGTACAGAATTTCTGCTCCCAAACAGAATGTAATTTTAAAGATTTTCAAAACCATTTCAGTGTCACATTGCATAACAATCAAGACTCCTCCTAAAGCATAATGATGCTTCTACCACAGATCTCTACTGAGTTTCAAAACCCTTGCTGTTACCAGTCAGAATCTTTCTCTCACAGTAGTTAAGTACTTCCCATCCGTTGCCCAGGCCATTAATATGCTATAATCCGCAATGTAAGTAATTATAACAGAGATAAAACAGTTAATTAAACAAAAGCTTACAGCTATTTTCCTGGTATACAAGGGCTTCTTTAGACAGAGGACATTCTTCACTTAAAGCTGTATTTACTTCAAGCAACCAATACCAGATTTCTCTTCTTGCACCAAAAGAAACAGAATCATTTAAAACAAGAATGCAGATTCACTGTTTTGGAATCAGCAGTAAGTAAACCACCTCGCTAATATTCCACACTTCCAGAAAGCAGCCAGAAGACATCACGTTTCTGACACATCTGGATGGTCAAGGCAGTCCCAGAAGTAGATAAGACTCAAATTCAGGTCCAGATGCTCTCTGTGTTAATATGATTATGATGATATTCAAACTCATGACCCTACAAAGAATTGGGCTAACAAGGGTTTAGATCTAGTCTCGTCAAACTGGTAACTCTACCAACACGGATTTACTGATTCAGGTCTTTGCCTGGTCAGGCACTGTCACCACATTTTCCATCCAAACGAACATCTGCTTACAGAGTTTGAAACAGTTTTACTCAAGCATCAGATGGCGTTTCTCTCTGAAAACTGAGCTCAATCCCATCCAGTACTGACAATACTTCTTTAAGGGAGGAAGTACCCTAAAAAAAACGTAAAGACATTTCATTCTTTCAAAATTCATTAGTTTGCCTCTTGCCTCTGCAAAGAACAGCTGCCACGATAATGGATTTACGGTCGGAGAAAGAAGTGGAGGAAAGGTTCCTTTTATTACTCGTTTCAACAATACAAACGCCAAGTAGAACATACAGGAACTTCCCCAGGAGACTCAGTGTATAAACTACGCTCAGTTACCACCACCCAGTGGCAGCCTGGAAAAGCATCAGAGTACTGACAGCATCTCATTTTCCTTTACAGAAAACAACCTGTGCCCACTTCACAGTCTGTCTTTTGGATCTCTCTGGAGGCTAGACGTCACCTTTCCCTGGTGGCACAAGCATGCCAGAAGTGACTACCCTTCTCTAAAATTTAGGCTTTCGGTCTGTGTTGTCACAGAAAGTAAGAATTACCTATTTCTAGAACTGACAAGATCCATCTTGTACAATATTGCTGCACATCTCTCTCCTATCTTCTTATGAAGTGGAGATTAACAGTTAGAAAATACAACCTAACATTAATCCAACGAGTTGAAGTTTTTCTAACATTTATTTACATATGAAAGAAGTGTCACAGAATTGCAACATCTCCACAGACCACTTGTTTTAGTAAGGAAATGCCCCTGGTGTCAGTGGACTTTCTTCATACAGAAACCACCAGAACAAAGTGGGTACTATTTAGGATATTTCATACATGAGTTTTATAAAGCAGTCATGCTCAGATCTTCTCTAATGGCAGGACCACATTTGAGAAGATCATCTTCCTGTCTAATATTTTTTTGAACAGTAATCACAGACAAACCATTAATTCATAGGTGAGTCCTTCCCTCTAACTAGTAACATCATGATGTACAGAGGCAGCCTTAGATAAGGCTGCATAATGTGAGAGAGATACAAACGTTAAGGCAGATATAGCCAGTTAGGTCAGAAAGATTATCAGATATACGTTTACTTAGTAGCTCTTATACCTTAGCTTTACTAAAGGCATACTGGTTTACTGTCAGAGTAGCAACATTTTTTGGTTTTAATAGAAAGAAAGATTGCATGCCAAACAGCTAACTTGACAGTGTCAAGGCTTTTACGGGAGGTTCCCAAAGCACATTATTTCATAAAGAACAGTTTTGGGAAGTCTACAAGACATGGATACTCTAGTTTCAGACAGCAGACAGTCTGGAATAACACTGAGACGTCACTATGCTGTCTCAGAGCAACCTGAAAACAAGAGCACTCTGTTTTCTTCTAGTTTTTGTCATAATTCAAGCACTATGAAGACTGTAAGGCTAAACAATAGTCCATTTGTAGCACAAAGCCAGGAATATGATTAAAAACAAATACCATTTTAGTTAATGAAATACTATTTCACCAATAAATGTGGTAACTTAACTTTCTAATTAACTTTTGCATCTAAAGTTTACAGTAAGGATTTTTCTTTTTTTTTTTTAAACAAACAGATTTGTACAAAGCACCCTTCAAACTTTTTCCAGTGCTTTCACAGACAGAGTAAGCAAACCTCTAAGCACAGTTAAAGTACAGTCTGTATCAGTCCATTCTTTTCTTTCAAAACACTTAATTTTTGAAAGAGATTTCCTCTATTCTATCATTGTAAAAAAGACAACTGACATTGTAGTCATGAAGTCATGTTAAATGCATGTGTAATTGAACCATTACTCTTTTCCAGTTGCAGTGATGCTATGCAATTCGAGATTGTTTTATTTAACCTGTTTTTGTCTAACTTCTACTGTTTTGCTTATTTTGGGTCTGCAGAACCAGCAGAAAGTTTCCGAACATTCACCACTATTGAAACAGTAAAATAACTTATTTCTATTACTCAGACCCTTACAGGACGGTAGTGGAATGAAGGTATAACCTTCAGAAGAATGGTAAAATCTGATTAGTCATTTATCCAAATACTAGATCTACTTCCTTCTCTTCTAGTATACTAACCAGTCAACGAAGAATTCCAGGTAACCTTCGTCCGGTTTCTCTAACTTCGGTGTCCCCATTTCAGCTTTTACCCCTACCAAGATATCAGTGTGTCCCTGTTAAAACAAAAACATATTGCACAACTGGAATTATAGTCACAGAACTACTCACTTAATTTAAATGCCTACAGTAAACTGACTTTCCTACCTTTCTGCTGTCTGCACTGATCAGTGCATCAGAGTGAACTTACATTAGCATTAGTTTTTTTAAAAAAAAACACACAAAAAGCTTTAGAAGGACAATGTTAGGCCTAAGAAGATTCTTCAAATAATTACCATACATTCTCTAGGTTAAAAAGACACTCTTAACATCCACGACTACTTCTATCGTTTTGGTTCTGGAAACAGCTGTTTCCGCAGAACCTTTATAATATTGGACACTATATTTATCTTCTTCATAGTCAACAAATGCCAGAAGTAGTTTTGCTTCACTCTAAAGGAACAGAATTATTTTTTCCTGGGATTAGGCACAACAGCAATTTCAGTTTTCAAGATTAAATGTTAGATTAGTTCAGACTGAAGGTTGCCCAAGCACTTCACAGTAAATCTAGCTCAAGCAGGTTAAGTCATCCTGTCATTATTTCATTAACGCATCGTTTCAGTTAGTGCTATACACACACATGTTATTACACACACACAAACCCATCCACAAATAGCCTCGGCTTATCTCAGAACTAGTCACACATCTCAAAACCAGAAATTTCATCAGCAAGGTACACAATCCCCAAGAAATTTACCTACCAGCTTTACTCTTGCAGATCCACTTGTGTTTGATACAACATCTGTTTCTACTTCTACACATCTGTAGTCTTCACAGCCACGACCATCCACACGAAGGTCCTCCTAAGTATGACAATCAATATATCGTGCTTAAGGAAATCACTAATGAAAAGTAAAAATGAAAGAATCTGTGATTTTAAAGTTTCCTTTTTCTATGTCAAACACAACAGTAAAAAGGATATAAAAGCAACAGCTCATAGTCTCATCGCTAACTTTTACTTAAGAGTACAACAGAACCAACTGTACTTTTTCATCTACCTCTCATTTATCTACAGCTTGCAACAAGCTCTCTGAAGACAGACATGAACTCCTGCACTAACTCCCTCCAATTCCAAAAGCAAGCTTCAGGAAAAAAACCAAAACCTTTTACTGCAAAAGCATAAAGGTCCTGGCTTTACCTAACACAACACAGGTCTTTCCTGGGATACTCAAGTTCTGTACTTTTATATATTTAACTAGGAACCAGCAGACAAAAATGACCCACCAGCCTTCCAAATGCTTTCATCTGTTTGTATTTCAAAACCAGATGTTACGCACTCTCAGATACTATACAGCTTCTCTCCACAAAAATAGTTTTCTTTGCAGTAAAACACAGTTTCTGTACTCTGCTGGAAGTACAGTCCTTTTATCTTTGGCACTTCTCCCCACACATCCTTCACTCTTCCTTCTTGGTCCACTGACTGTTCCTTAGCTTAGTGACTCTATGCAACGGCAAAAACTTGAGATGGAGCAAGGGAAGAG